ACGGAGAAGAGATTGTCGCTATAGATTTACATACATAAATGCGCTGTGCAGTATATATGCATAGATGATAATATGTATTATGTATGCATATCTACTGCACTGCGCATGTATGTATATATGTCATATATGATACATATATAATGAGAATTGAAAGTGAAATACACCTTGCTTAACGCATTTACTGACCGACTTACAAACACAATAGTAAGACAATATATGTAGCATTATATGTAATGCACGGTACAGTGAATGTATCAATATACGAAAATTATGAATTACGGACGAATTTCGACGACTGGGCGAACACTGCACTGGTACGTTTAACCGCGGAAAGTTTAACTAAGTCAATATATTTGACATCGTACCGGCACACATACGAAACTAGTTCCCCCTCACTACAAATCAAGTCGCTCCTCCCACATCCGGCCGCAGCCATCTTTGAGGTCTCATTTCCGGTGTCTGTGCGAGGGAGAAGGCACTATATTAGTTTTTGCGGATGGGGGACCGAGATGTTTAGTTTTAAGTAAGAACGGATTTTCAGGTAATATTTAAAACCTTTTATTATATACATGTAAATTAATAATAAATCGACCATCGATCACAAAGGAAAACTAGATACACATTTCCATGCAAAAGTTCTCTAAAAACTGTCGCCAATTGTTTTGACCAAATCCTAAACGTTCGTCTGCTATGGGCCGTGGGTTCGAATCCGGCACAGACTAACAATTTGATAATTGTTCGCGTTTTGGATAATTTTGTTCATTGCCAATTTTATTTATGAAATGCTCCCACAATACAGGAATTTATATCATATAATATTAAATCAGAGGTTTTTGGTGGTTTTTTGAAATTTAAATAAATAAAAATAAATCTTCATTTGTCTATTATGGCTCAGGGCCTTTTTTTTTCATGGGGGAATGCCTACGCATAACTGTCTTGCGGGGGCAAGGACGGGTTATGTCAGACTCGCACCGACTAAAACCCCATGGTGTTCTACCTTCGCTGCATATTGGCAGGGCCACGGAAACGCTTTCGCACACATCCGCGCTCCCCCCTACCTTCTGAGGTAAGGCGCACCAGGAACACAATGCGCGCCTCCCTCCACGGCTTCTTACTCCAACTGCGAAACGGACACCCCGAGTTCGCTATGCGGAGGTCATGGGGCCAGAAAAAACGAGCATTTTAAAGCACTAGTTTTCCCGACCGCAGCGGCAGATCTGGTCTCTGGCTCCGCCGCCAACCATTATTCGGCTGCGGAGGGTAGGGAGAGCGGCGCCGCGCAATGCTGACACTCCTCTCCTCTCCAACTCACTAACTCTCCTCTTCCTCTGCAACTCCACCTCAGCTGCAGCGGGAGGGCGAGGGGACACCTCTCTAGCCGCAGCCCACCAACACACATCTGAAGTGGACTCATCAAGCCCACTTGGAGTCGCCACCTCGGGCCGGCCCCACACCACGGGTCAGCCAAGTGGGTTCCTCTTTGTTCACCACGGGTGACCAAGCCGCGGCTTCTAAACCCCCCCCCCCCCCCCCCCCCTCAAGGCCGCAAAGCGTGAACCCATTCGGGAAATAATTGAGATTTTTTGAACTAAATGAAAAGCTTGATATAATAAATGGCCTTCAATTATCTTAAATCTGAATAACGCCACATTAATAGATGCTACCCAGGCGAGGGCGGGGGCAGGTCGCTAGCATCTAATATAACACAAACATATATTAAGTATAAGTACCTTTCCAGTTAGTAAGACGCTAAGATGTAGGCTCTTACACGTTTCTTGAATATTAATATAGTTTCAGAATTTCTAGTGATAGGCGGTAGCAAATCCCAGTCGCACTACCTAACTGTGAGAAAATAAATAGAAATAAAAACCGGAATAATGTACAAGAAAATTAACGAGACTTGACTTTCAATCATTCCGTATTTGCTCTACAGTAAACAATAAATAAACTTAAAAAAAAAAACTTTAAAAATAACGAAAATTTGAGAAAGTTTTTTTATTGCAAAATACTTAAATTAATACCCTAAACTCGTAGATAGAAAACGAATTTCACTAAAGCATTCTTGGAACCATCGAATCCGCCGGATATGATTGATCGCGACTTTATCCGGGCAGTGAATCGAGAGCCGGGTATACGGTCACGTAACACCCGGCTCCGAGGATAAAGCTATACTCTTTCATTCGACCCCCGATAGTCTACAAAGTCGGCTTTTATGACTGCTCTACTGTATAACTCGGTAAGCGACATATTTTTTACTATTTAAACTTTTAATATGTATTTCTTTATATTTGCTTTGATTTGATATAGAATAAAAACCATTGTTGTTAAGCTATACAAAATATACTGATTACTTATTGCCTGTATTGGCGAATCAGATTTCAATTTTACGATCTAGAATTATTAATGTATGACTGCAGCTACGTAGTGACAATATCTATAGAATATTGGAAGATAATTATCACGATAATAACATTATAAAGTATTAACTTCATATAGGTCACACTGAATAGTGAATAAAAAGTAGGTATTAAATAAAGCTGATATAAATTAAATGTGATAAACTATAATAAATGAAATTAAAATAAAAACGAACACAATAAATATAACATGATAACAGCATAATTTATTTGATATACATAAATATTGATTTCTAAATACTAAATAAGAATACGAAAAAACTATTGCGGAGTGATTCAGCCATTAATATTATTATGTTAAATAATAAATTAAGCTCTATATTTATTCTGTGGTGTGGTACGTGAGTGAACCGAACTCATTGTCCACCGATACCAAAGAAAACTTACTTTCCCTGTCCGCGAAAAAGAAACTATAGTTAAACAATTAAAATGTTCATATATGACTGTGACGTGACGAGACTGTGAAATAGTAAAGTATTGATTATGTCGTCGGCTATTCTCATACGTGGCAGAGCCGCAGTGTAGTGTACCGTGTAGTGGCGGTGTAAGAATATCCACTAACCCATATTGTCCCGTCGATGTCGTAAGAGGCAACAGAGGGAATCTAATCAGGAGGTAGGCAGCAGCGTCTCCCTAACTATGACTAAAAATAAAAACTGCGATTGCCAACCCACTTGCCAAGCGTGGCAACTATGTTAAATATCATCCCTATGAGGCAAACTATGGGGGACGCTTATGGTCATCAGCGGACTTTATTAAGCTGTAACGGTAATGGTAACGGTAGAGCCACTGTAGTAGCATGGATGGATTGGCTCAACCGGGACAGGACTACGCTCTCACAAAATACCAGCGTAAAATACCAGCTCAATAACAGCATCGGCATCATTGTTTCGTATGGTTAGTAGTAACCCTTTTTACTCAGTCGTCAGGGGTGATAACGTATTCTGCATTATGCTTCTTAATCGAGTTTGATAGATGTAGATTTCTATAGGTTCTATAACCTCGTACTGCACTATATATGTACAGTCCACCTGATGGTAAGTGGATGCTATCATCCACTTACCATCAGGTGGACTGTGAGCTCGTTTATCACCCTTATTCTATTAAATTATTCCATTTTATATATTCTTAATCTATAAAAAATATGAAGGAAGGTCTCTCTCTTTATTGTTCTATAAAACTTTCTCCGAATCTACTCGTATAATATAATTATTCCGAAGTATGGGCGAACTGTAATTGATCGATACCGCATATATAGTGCAGTACGATGTTTTATTGCTGATAATGATCAATTTCGTAAGCAAGAGAGCTAGTTGCACATTCGCTCTCACACTTTTATTATTTTTAACAGTTAGCCTCCAGAATAATTTTTAATAACAGTATTATTAGTCATTTTTAACAATATTCAAATCGAGCGCCAAATGTGAAAAATAACAAATCATTAATACCAGTAACAGTAACGTTATTTTCAACTATTCGCCATTTACCGTATTCTACTTAACGTCACTCGATCGGTACCTCCCATCTCCCGAGGGAGGCAGAGGCCAGAAGACTTCTATTTGATTTTATTGTCCCTGTGACGTTGAACGCGCACCTTTTACAGACAAACTCTTTTATATAATATATTTTACTGCATCTAACAAGCAAGAGAACGTTTTTTTTAAATATTTGCATCCTTATTTAGTTTATAGTGTTTTAATTAAAGTTTGTTTAAAATACAAATGACATTTATATGTACGATACATTTTTTTATAGGATAAGGGTGACAAACGAGTACATAGCCCACCTGATGATAAATGGTTTCTGTGGCCCATAGACATCTACATCTATCGTCGATTACGAATCGAAATGCAGATGCGTTTTCACCCGTTAGGACTAAGATGGAATGCCTCGTTTCCAGTAAAAATGTTCTCCGGTTCTCTATACTCACCATACGAAACACAGCATCGTTATGCTGCTGTTTTACGCTGGTATTCTGTGAGAGTGTGGTCCTTTCCCGGTCTAGTCGACCCATTCCTGCTACAACTATACAACTAATATAGCTGCAGCACGGCTCTACCACGTCAAAAATATTTTCCACGTGTAGAGCCACGCGTCAGCTATACTATCGTAGCAGCACGAATGGGTTGGCTCAACTGGGAAACGTCCATGCTCTCATAGAATGCCAGCGTAAAATAACCGCCTAATTCTGCTAGGACTATGTTGCGTATGATGAGTGTATAGAAGCGAAGACCCATTTTACTGGTAACGAGCCATTTAATCTTAGTGCTATGGGGTGGCAACGCATCTTATTTTGATTCTCAATCGATATATCTATATAGGTGGACTGTGTGCTCGTTTGTCACTTTTTGTCATCATCATTATAATCCTTTACAAGTCGACTGTTGTGCATAGGCCTACTCCAAGAAATGCCACTTAGCACAGCCCTAAGCCACCTGTAACCATCGACTCCCTACACATCTTACTAAGTCATCAACCATCTCTTTGTCACCAAAACTTAAGTCACTCACATAGTACTTACTCTGTAGCACTGTTACACAGATATATTCATACAAAGAATTAATAAGCTCATTGTTTCAACAGCGGTTCAAAACGAGAGGCAGCCTCGCAACACAGCGACTATACGACCGGAGGCGCTTCGAGACATGGACCAGGAGAGAGCGTTGAGAGAGGCCGCAGTCGCTGTTGGTGTTTTTGGGTAAGTCGTAAGTCCCTATTAACTACTAGATTCAATTGATAACCTCCACTCACTTATTAAAACCAGATATCGCTATGCTGGTCTAACGAGGGTTAGCGGACATCATATCACCTGAAAAAAGTGAGGAGGTTTGTTAGTAGTCTGATTGTTAAACGATATCTCCAAAGTATGTTAATCGATTTTACACTGTTATCGGTATAAACTTCACGGTGACCATCACGGTAGCACTCGTAAATTTCAATCAGATCCTATGATATTATAGGTATGTATCAGAAATCCACTGCCTCGTTTGTTGGTTATAGTAGTACGACTGCTGATCATGAGACCCCGGATGCGAATCCCGGATCAGGCGAATAAAATCAGTTATTGAGCTCCATCTGCAGCTCCAGCTCCATCAAGGAATTCTCGGAGTTAGGAAGCCGGCGGTGTCTCACCTCCGTGCCTCGGAAAGCACGTGAAGCCGTTGTTCCTGCGCCTGATCTCTCCCGGTCGTGTCGGTTTACCGTCCCATCAGACTATGATAGTGAGGGAATAGAGAATGTACCTGTGTTGCGCATACACTTGGGCACTATAATCCTGCCCTGCGCAGATGGCTAGTCTCCGTTGAGGCTGGCCGCCGTTACCGAAATTTGGTCTGGGGGACATTATTAGTGTCAGATATAAATGATTGATCAAAATATTTCTTTAAACTCATTGAAATTAATATTATTTATATTTAGTTAGACGTAAGAAAACTTTTTTTTTTTGTATAATTTTCTTTTTAAATCTACTTTCAGTTATTAAATAAGACTGCTAAGGACTGTAGATGAAATTCCGAAATAAGCTCCGTAGGTATTGTCTTTTCAATATTTTATAGGTATACCCAGTAAAACTTCAGAATGTATATCAAGTAGGACCACGCCCTCACAGAATACCAGCGTAAGATCGTAGCTTAATGCTGTTTCGTATGGTGAGTGTAGACAACCTTTTTACTGGAAACGAGGCAATCCGTCTTAGTCCTCGGTCCTATTTTGGTTCTTAATTGAGCATAAGTGTAGATTTTTATGGGTCACATCATCCACTTACTGTGAACTGTGTTCGTTTGTCACATTTTGTCATCATCATCATCATCATCATCATTATTACAGCTCTTCACAAGTCCACGACTGAGCATAGGCATTCCCCAAGAAATGTCACTAATCACGGTCCTAAGCCAGCTGTAATCATCGACTTCCTATATATCTTGCCAAATTATCGACCCTCTCTTTTTCAACTTAATAAGTATAAAAAAAACTCCAAGTCACTCACATTGTAGTTACTCTAAAGCCCTGTAAACAGGTATATTCATACAAAGAATCAATTGCTAGCCATCCATATTCTTTAAAAAAATTAAGTAGGTAACTTAGTTTCACTTAGATTACTCAAACAGTCGCTGAACGGTAACGGAAACATAAAATGCCTTCGTTCTTACTCATGGGTGGCAAATGATATCACATAAGTCTGCATTACTAAGTCACTTATAATCCATAAGATGTATGAAAACAGAACCAAAAAAGCACAATTTTATATACCAATGCCATCCTAGGTAGTAGGAGTCCTCTTTTACCTCAGCATCATACTCGGCCTATTTTTGCTGCCAAGCAAATAGCTGAAGGGAATAGAGAGGCATTATAATTACAGGTTGTAAGGTATGCCATCTCAGTCCTCAGAGATGACATCGCATCTGTAGCCTTTACTTGAAGTTACTGCAGTAGCTACCATGACGATAAGCGTCATGAAGGCTGTAAGTTCGCTTGTCACTTCAGTTTAATTAAAAAAAAAACTATACAAAAACTTGAGTAACAAAAGCAGAAATGAGACTAGTCGTTATATCCGCAACAAACATACACTACACACAAAGAAATCAGTCCCAAAGCGTTTCCGACAGAGGAGTCAAAGACTGGAACTGTTAGTGAGGCGAGAATTATGCTTTGAGGAGCATGCATTGCTTTTATAAGGCATTTATGCTTTTAAGTTTTTTTTATACTGTTATTATATGAGTACGGCCTCTAACCCATACGATGAGAGACACTGACACAGACTTAACTAGACATTAAGTTAGAATTATTTAAGCTCGGGTAAAAAATCTAAGTGAAATAAGTGCGATTGAAGATAGCAGCGACGTCGAAACTACATATATATTGGGTGATTTTAATGCTCACCCATATGATTTATTCTATAGAGAGCTAAGTGGTTTCTGTACGGATCGGTCTTGGGTTTGTGCGGATGGAGAAATATTAAAAACCGACTCGTACACATTTACTGACCCGTACCATGGAAGTAGGAGCTGGCTTGATCACTGTGTGGTCTCCCTATCAGCCCGGCAAACCATTGTGAATGTAGGGATTTTGGAAGATGTGTTTGTTTCGGATCATCTGCCCATTTATCTGGAATGTAACCTAAACACTGTCAGGCCTAAGCTGTTGATTCATGAAGTGCGGCGTAGTGCAGTGATTTGGGGCGAAAGAGATGAATCTCAGATAAATAGATACCGCAACCTATGTAATAACAGCTTACGGGAGGTCAACTTTCCTCCTGAGTTTGGGAATTGCAGCCATGGGTCATGCAGCTTGGAAAACCACAAGTTAGTTTTGGACAGCTTTTATAAACGTATTGTGGATATTCTGCAAGACGCAGCCGTTCAGACCAAGCCCCAGCTTAGAGATAAACCACGGAGGAACAAGGTCTTGAGTGGGTGGAACAAGCACGTTAGGGAAGCTCACCGGGAGGCCAGGCTTCGTTTCCAAAACTGGGTTTTGCATAATCGACCTCCTTCTGGCCTAATTTATGAGCAAATGTGTGAATCTCGTAAGATCTTTAAAGGCAGACTCAAATGGTGCTTAAATAACCAGGAGCAAATAAAAATGGACCAAATAGCAAAACTAAGAGCGGAAAAGAATTTCAGTAAGTTCTGGAAATCCACAGGGAAACTGAATGTTAAGCCTGGACTCCCGGCGAGTGTCGATAGCAAAAATGATCCGAGGGATATCGCAAATTTGCTCATGGAGCATTTTAAGGTGAGGTCTCCACTTGGTCCATCTGCTACCAAGACCGAGTCTGGGCCCGCCGTGCACGGGGAGAGACCGTTGCTTTTGTTTACAACCGGCCAAGTAAAGGATGTAATAAAAGGGATGAGCAGAGGAAAGTCTCCCAGTCACGACGGGCTTAGTATCGAGCACCTTAAATATGCAGGGGTGCATTTACCGAGGGTCCTGTCCCTGTTTTTTAATATGTGCATCAGCCACTCATACTTACCAGCTGATCTAATGAAAACTACTGTTGTGCCCATAGTGAAGAACAGGACAGGAGATATCTCGGATAAGAGAAACTATCGCCCAATCTCCCTCGCTACTACGATAGCTAAGATATTGGATAGTCTGCTTGACTCTTGCTTACAAAATTACTTACACCTACATGATGCGCAGTTCGGTTTCCGGCCCGGACTATCGACTGAAAGCGCAATTTTGAGCCTCAAGCATACTGTGCAATATTACACAGACCGGAGGACTCCTGTTTACGCCTGTTTTCTGGACCTCTCCAAAGCCTTCGATCTCGTCTCATATGATGTACTTTGGAGGAAGATGGAGGACAGGGGTAATCCAGCAGAGATAATCAATATCTTTCGGTATTGGTATGCAAATCAGACCAATCATGTTAAATGGTCAAACAGTCTCTCCGAGTCGTACAGATTGGAGTGCGGAGTGAGGCAGGGAGGGTTATCGTCTCCGAAGCTCTTCAACCTGTATGTTAACGATCTCTTGGTGGAGCTCAGCAGCATGCGTGTTGGATGCCGTGTGGGTGGTGTTTGTATCAATAGCATCAGCTATGCGGATGACATGGTGTTGCTGGGTCCCACTGTGAATGCGATAAGAGAGATGTTAAAGGTCTGCGAGACTTACGCTGCCTCGCATGGTCTCGTATACAACATTGAAAAAAGTCAATACATGGTCTTTAGGGTCGCTGGCAGGTGTCCGGAATCTATCCCTGCAATAAACTTAAATGGATCGGAGCTAAAGCGGGTTTATCAGTTTAAATACCTAGGGCATATTCTTGCCGACGACCTTAAGGATGATCTAGACATAGAGAGGGAGCGTAGGGCTTTGGCGGTGCGCGGCAATATGCTGGCTCGTAGATTTGCCCGCTGTTCGGACCAGGTCAAGATAACATTATTTAAAGCGTATTGCCAGGGTCTGTACACGGGTGGTCTGTGGATTAGGTATGCCAAAAAATCGTTAAACACCCTGCGAGTCCAGTACAATAACGTTTTCAGGATGATGTTGGCACTCCCCCGCTTCTGTAGTGCTTCTGGCATGTTTGCACAGACCATAACTGATGGTTTTCATGCCATAGTTCGGAAAAAAGTAGCGTCGCTGATAGGAAGGATACGGAGAAGTGACAACAGCATCCTGAGAACGGTGGCAGATGATCCGCATGCGCCTATTGTGAGGCACTTCGTGCGAACGATGACTCATACAGAGGATGGTTATTCTTCTAGGTGTCGACCGCACGGAGTGCCTCTCAGGTACATGACAAATTAGAATTTAAGTTAATCTAATTTTATTTCTGATTTGATTTGATTTAATTTGAATTAATATGATTTTAGTTTGATGTAATTTAATTCTAATATAATATAATATAATTTAATTAAATTTTTTATAAGTACTAACACTTAGTTTATAAGCGATAATGTAATACTAACCCATGGATCTTTGTTGTCTGAAATTAAATGAATTTGAATTTGAATTTGAATTAAAAAATATCGATTTATCGAAATATCGATGTTATCTCATAGAAATATCGATATAAATATCGTCAATATTTTTATGCGCGATATATAGATATTGTATATTAATTTTAGTGTATCGAAATTATATCAATTTCGATATAAGTATTTTAAAATTTTGTATTAATCGTCAAAACATTAAGCAACAAAAGCAACTACAAAAGCATTCATGTGCTGTAGCGTTTTTATTTTCTTCGTC